AAATTTAAGGGGGTCTGAATACTTTCCGTACCCACTGTATATATTATTTATTTATTTTGTTAAATAATGTTCATCAGTATGCATTGATGCATGTTTCAAACAGTATTATACTTCATTTTTGTCACTGTGTTGCATGTTTAATTCAGCAGTGTGCATAATTTGGCAGATGTGGTAGGCAATCAGAGTTTCTCATGCATACAAAAAAACAGGATACTGTTTGCAGTTTACATATACCGCATACTGCAAAATTAATCTGAGCACTAAATTTGTATGCTATTCCACCCATACCGCATGCATATAGAGAGTAAGTGCAGATCTGATTAGTCTTGGTTTCTCTAGAAGGTTTTTTGGCAAGATTTGTGACAGTATAAACTAATGCCAGGACTCTCTCTGTACGTGTAGCGTGGGCGCCTCTATCTCCAGCAGGCTGATTTAAACTCTCACACCATCTCAGCAGAGTTCGGATACGTTCTGAGTATTGCACAACGCTCAAACCAAACGTCCCAGAAATGTTCCTGAACACTCGGTTTGAGTGCACGTGACACCAGAAATCCTGAGGGTTGGATGTCAATCTGGCTTTCAATCACATGTAAGTGTGGTTTAGCGTTCTGACCGACCCGCGTCACGGGATGTGAATGGGATGAGAGGTTTCAGACACGTGCTGCATGCAGGAGGCACAAACATAAAATATGCTACATAATATGTCTACATGGTGAGCGTGATTTGACCAAGTACAACATGTTCCTGGATCAACATCCTTGTTGATCCTGAAACATCATTCCAATCAACCAATCAGAATTGAGAGATAACTTTTCAGGAAATGTCAGTTTTAGGCTTACAATCAGGATTAGGTGCTTCTACACCCTTGTTAATCAACTATCATTTCCCTCTGATTTCAGGAATAAATTATGGGTAAGGTTAGGTTTAGGGGTAGGGATTGGGTTAAGTCTGTATTTTTGGACAGTAATGTTGATCCAGGAACATGTCGTACTTGACAAAATCACGGCGACCATGTCTACAAAGGTGGATATAGAGCAATACTAAAAGGCTAAATTAAGTTTGTTTCTACACTAAAACAAATTTAAGCACTATTCATTGGCTCACTTTATCACACAGATTATTATTATTTTTTATTTTAAGTATTATTAGTATGCTGGTTAAATTAAAGGTGTCACATTGGTTAGCATGGCCATGTTAGCTAATCTGAGAAGAATTAGTCTCTGGATTCGCTGATGTTTGCAAGGTTCATGGCATTAGATTGAGGAAATATGGTTTTTCATAAATATATAAATAATTTGTCTTGTCATGTTCATTAATTTTGTAAACTTCACACTGACTAAAGTGGCATTGAAAATACCAATTAAAAATATACATTTAAAATTATTTATTTTAAAAATATTTAAAATATAAAACATGCAAAAAAACATGCAAATACAAAAATTTCTAAAATCATTTTGGTTTTGGATTCCTGACAAGCGACGTCACTGCATTTATGGTAAAAATACATATATTTTAGTGCCATATTTATCTGTCATACAACATTGCATATCCCTGTCTAGTGTCAAGTACATAGCGAAACAACAGCTTATAGCTACAACATACAACTTGTGCAAATGCTGAATGCTGTTCATATCCACCTTTCACAATTTTTCATTAAAATCTGTCATTTTTTACATATTACACTTATGTTTGAAACTGATTTAAATGCAGTAAATGCTTCTCAGTTTTCAGTTGTTTTGGTGTGAAAAATACAATCTGAAGAAATTTCTACATTTTGAAAAAAATTCACTTGACAAACTTGATCAACAGAATCTTCATGGGAAACTTTCTGCCTTCATGTAAAACTCCCAATCACGTGGTTTCCTATTGAAACAACTTAAGTTTGCCTGCAAGATTTCATCATGCAGTGGTAAAAGAGACCACACCTAAAGTTGTGTAGCCTGTACAAGCC